GTCATCCTGACGTATGGCCTCTGCCAGAGGTTCAATACTCAGGGCGAACAAAATGGGGGACAACGAATCACCCTGACGCACCCCTCGCTCCACATTGAAGAATTCTGAACAGCACCCATTAACTCTAACCTTTGATTTGGAATTTTTATAAAATAACGTAACCCAACTAACGAATGTTTCGCCAAAGCCCATCTCAATTAGTGTATGTTTAAGAAATTGCCAATCAACCCGATCAAACGCTTTTTCGGCGTCCAAGCCAAGAAGCATGGATGGTTGGGGATCTTTTGTCATCAATGATTGTAAATTTAGGGCTCTTCTTACATTGTTAGATCCGTGTCGACCCAGGATAAACCCAGTTTGATCTGGATTAATTAGGTTTTTTATATACTTTTGAATTCGTGTGGATATAATTGCTGTCAATATTTTATAGTCCACGCCGAGAAGACTAATCGGACGGTAACTTGCACATTGCAGTGGATCTTTTCCCTCTTTATGTAGGACTGTGATGATCGCTTCAGACCAGGACTCCGGAGGGTTCCCTGATTTTAGGACATAATTATAAATCTTGCATAGTATGGGTGTAAGATCATTAATAAAGACCTTGTAAAATTCTCCTGCAAACCCATCCGTTCCTGGTGTCTTGTTGTGTTTCAATTTACCAATAGTCTCTCTGATTTCATCTTCTCTAATAGGCTAAACTAGCCTTGAGGCTTCATCTGTTGTCAGTTTAGCCATTTTCACTGATTTAAAAAACGTATGAATTTTGTCCTCTTTTGATTCCTGGTTTTGACTCTTTTATAACTGTTCATAAAATTTTGCAAAATTGTCTGATATTGTTTTTGGACTAGTTGCAATTGAATTACTATTAAGCTGCTTAATTTTTGGGACGATACGGCTCGCCTGAGCCTTTTTCAGTTGAAACGCTAATAAACGGCTAGCCTTATTTCCAAATTCGTAGTATTTCCTGTCGATAAATCTGAGGGATCCCTCCGCTCTATAAGTTAACAAGTCATCTAACTTATTTCTATATTCTTTAAGTTTATCTAAAGCCTCTTTTTTCCCTTGTTGTTTGTGTTAATTTTCCAATCTTTTGATTTCATTCTCAATCTGAAGTTGTTTTTGCATCCTTTGTTTCTTTAATCTGGATCCTATGGAGATTATTTTGCCCCTTATTGTGGCTTTTGCTGCGTCCCATAAGACGGAGGGTGAGACCATTCCATTATCATTGAAAACAAAATATTCATTTATGGCTGTCTGTATTTCGTCTCGAATGAGTGTATCTGTTAGTATTGATACATTTAACCGCCAATACCGAAAACAAGGTTCCAAATCTAAGTCAAGTTTCATTATCACAGGGCTATGATCCGAAATTGTAATTGATTCTATTAAACATTCTTTAACCTGATGAATGTTCTTTTTGGTTATTAGGAAATTATCTAGTCTGGAGTAGCTGCCGTGTACCTGGGACATAAATGTGAAATCTTTCTCCTTTGGATGGAGATGACGCCAAATGTCAATTAGCCCGAGTTCTGTCATCATAGTCGCTAAACTTTTTGACATTCTACTTTGGGATTTCAATGTTGAGGGTAATTTATCTAATTTGTTGCTTAAAACACAATTCATATCCCCACCTATAAGCAGCAAGCCTTCCCCTTTCTCTGCCAAAAGATTTGCAAGTTTTTTGAAGAAAGATGGACAATCCTCGTTCGGGGCATACACATTTAAAATACTCAATTTTATCCCTGCAATGGTTCCCACTACCATTATATATCGTCCTTCTGGATCCTGATAAACTTTTTCACAGTTGAAGTAAACAGACTTATTAATCAAAATGGTTACCCCTCGTTTTTTACTAATTCCATAAGAACTGAAGTATACCTGGTCTACCCATTCTCTTTTTAACTTTAGATGTTCTTTTTCCGTGAGATGTGTCTCTTGAAGCAAGGCAATCGCACACTGCATCTTCTTTAATTGTGCCAGAATTTTCTTCCTCTTAATTGGGCTGTTTATACCTTTTATGTTATATGTTATTAAAGTCAATGATGTCATCATTAAGGTTCAATTTAATAACCTCATTAATAAATTGCTGCTCTGTCTCCGAATATGTATCTCTCGTACAAAAATATAAAAGCAAAGTAACCTTTCTGTAAAAGAATTTTGGATAAGCCTCTCGAATCAGGGGAAACACATAAAGAACAGTTTGAACACATAACAGAACTTCCAAAAGTGCAGCCAGCCATAGTCCCTGAACCGTAACCATGCCTGACCCCCGATAACATTGGGGCAGAGAGTGGTGGGCTCTCTGCGCATAGAGCACAGTGTGTGCAATCAAGACCAGTATTACACCAGAATGCAAAAAAGGTCTCTGTGAGTGTAGCTCACTCATACGTAAAACAAAAGGTCTCCTTTTTTTCTTATTTTCCCTTATTTGTGACAACTTATAATATTCTTAATCAACAACTATACCTTCGGTCTTTTCTCATCATACCCCTACATGACTTTACATTACTTTTAAACAGTTTTAATCTTTTATCTTCACCTGTCTTGTCTTCATGCTAGCTCCAGTTCCATCATGGCCTTCAGATCTGCTACAGACAACGTCCCGTCTCCCTTTCTTTTCGAGCTGATGCTCCATCCGTCTGCTAGTCTTTCTTCGAGGCGCTCCCTTTCCCCGTGAGACACCTGGACACCCATCCGCTCCAAGGTGTCCGATGCCTCCATCAGCGAAGCAAAAGTTTCGTCTCCCGAGTCCATTTTAATCTTCAGGCGTGCTGGATACAGACACTTCGCCTGTACGCCCTTCTGTTTCAGCTGCTTGATAACTGCATGGACTTTTGCCCGTCTCTTTTGCAACTCGGGAGAGTAATCTTGATCGAAGAAAATCCTCTTGCCTCGAAACAAAACCTGTCCTTGTCTCCACGCTTGCTGTAAAACAGCATCTTTCACCTCTGCGTCCAGAAATCTCACGATTATTGAGCGCGGAGGCGCCGCTGGGTTCAACGGCCTGGACAGCAGCGACCGGTGCGCTCTCTCGATCCTTATGTCCACATCTGGTGGCAGCGTCAGAACTTTAGGCAGTAGATCTGAAGCCTAGCTAGTAAAATGTCGTGGTCCACCGTATCAAAAGCAGCGGAAAGATCAAGCAAGACTAAAACCACATTGTCACCACAGTCAGATGCGAGTAAAATGTCATTAAAAACTTTTCAATAAAGCTGACTCAGTGCTATGAAGAACTCTGAAACCAGATTGAAAAGCCTCCCATGAGTTATGTTCATCTAAAAAGGCCTTTAATTGATTAAACACTATTTTATCCAAGATCTTGGATAAAAATGGCAACTTGGATATGGGGAGGAAGTTTGCCAACACCTTTTGGTCAAGTCCAGGCTTCTTGACAAGGGGCTGCACTATTGCATGTTTAAATGCTATAGGGACCACACCGGTAGAGAGGCTAGAATTAATAATATCCAGGACCGTCGGTCCTATGCAGGGGAGGACTTCCCTAAAA